TTGATTTGAAACCCCATAACATTTTCCTGAGATGTTGATTTATGACACACAGTTTAAAAATGTGTCCGATTTAAATGACAATTACAAAATATTACCATATTTCCATAAGAGTGTCACTAAATTAATATCAGACATTTTTGAAGACCAAGGAGAGGGAGTGGTCATGGTGAAACATCCAAAACTGTGGCATGTATAGTCTCAGAGAAATTCACTAAAATATAATGTCCTCATATGAGGATGCAGTGTCTCAGGAGGTTAAAGTTTCAACATTAGAATGAAAATATAGGAAATTGCACCATACAACCAATACATCACTGTCATTTTACTAAAGTCTTTTTCTTAGCTGAATTATTTGCAGGTGAGGTTGAAACGTTGAGCATTTTAATCAAAACTTATGCTGTAACATCTACTAAATGTGACTCATTGCTGAACATCTTGAATTTACTTGTAAGAAGGGAACTATGTTTGAAAATATCTGTACCATCTGGTCTAGGGAACCAGTTTGCCAGTTACTGCCTGACTGACTCCTGGAGTCACTCCTGAGAGAGCAGTATTTCCTACTGATAACTTTAAGTATTGCTGTCCCAATTTCCCAAGCAATAGTTAAGAACATCAGACTTATTTCTTTCCTTCATGTAAAATAAGTAGTTGTACAAATTTCCTTCTGGAAAAGATGCAGTACTAATCAAAAAATAGTATTACGTATTACTCTATGTTCTTTAAGTATCATTGTACCATAGAACCATCTTGTAAGTACCATAGTACCATAAAACATGAATATGGTAATCATTTAGTACCATCATATACTACATATACTACAAACGTTTTTTCAGTAAGATTTTCTTTTTTTTTTCTTTTAGGAAAGAACATTTATGCTGTTAAGTTAACAGTATGTTTGCAATATCTTTATCACAGTATACTTATATATTTTGAACCTCACAATAGCCAAAAGCTCACAGTAAAAAATTTAAGATTCAAACCATGCCAGTTTTTCTCTACTCCATCACCATCATGCACCAGAGATGTAGTGACATAAGACTGAAAGGTTTGAGATTTAACCGCAGAATTTGCATGACTTAGACTGTGTGTGTGTGTGCGTGTGTGTGTGCGCGTTTTTGTGACAAATGAGGACATAAATTTGTATAATGACAAGGGTATGACATAGGTATTACAAGGAGAAGGTGACTTTTCAGGACATTATCCCATGTCCCCACTTTTCAAAACGCTTATTAATCACACAGAATGGAGTGTATTGAAAATCTGAAATAGCACAAAGTTTCCTGTAAGGGGTAGGTTTAGGGGTAGGGTTGGTGTAGGTCAATAGAATATACGGTCTGTACAGTAGAAAAACCATTACGCCTATGGGATGTCCCCACTTTTCACAAAAACAAACCTGTGTGTGTGTGTGTGTGTGTGTCTGTGAGTGTGAGTGTGTGTGTCTGGATGTGTGTGTGTGTTTACCTCTATCGCGAGTTGGAACTGTTCATGTTCTCTCTGTAGTTGTTCGGCCTCTGACAGTGAACTTGCGTTCACCATACTGGCATCCAACATAGACTCACCATTACGAATCCAACCCAGAACCTAACACACGACACAACACATACAACTTTAGCACTGAAACACAGCACGCAATATAAATATGATCTATCTATCTATCTATCTATCTATCTATCTATCTATCTTCATATCTTCAAGTGCACTCAGAAATAAGTGTTGGGTGAAGTTAGATTGAATCATCTGCATGATATTACACTGAAATAGCTGTCAGTCTGATCTGAATATGTCACTCAGTGTGGACTGATATCCCGAGGAGCCTGAGCAGAATTCATAACTCTCTCTGCTCATTTCTCTCCATTAGCAGTCGTGTAGTGGCAGACACTTTAAGGCTGTCCCTGGCGACAGCACTTTGGCCCTCTGATTGAGACTAGCTCTGAGAGCCACACTGAATGTCTCTCTGTTGATGATCAATCAGAGGAACCGCCAGTGACAGAGCCAACAGAGAGTCACACGAGAGCCCAGCACTGTGATACATCAAGAGCATGAGAGAGCAGAGGAGCAACCTCCGACAACCAATGTTTAGTTATTTTTGATAAATGGATCAGTGAGGGTGAGTCCTCTTTAAAGAGCTGTGGCATTATGGGTAAAGGGAAAACACACATACACTACTTTCCAAAAGTCTTGGGTCAGTACGATTGATTATACATGTATATATGTACAGTATGCATTTATTTATTAAGCAAGGGGCAGATTAAACTGATTAAAAGTGACAGTAAAGACTTTTACATTGTTACTTTAAATGACTATTTACAAAAATAAATTATGAATAAATGCTGTTCTTTTGAACTTTCTATTCATTAAATAATCCTGAAAAAAGTACCATAATTTAAATCAATCAATCAATCAATCAATCAATTAACGACTGAGTATTAATTCAGCATTCCCATCATTGGAATAAATAAAATGTTAAAATATATTAAAATAGAAAACAGTTATTTAGATGCTAAATATTTATTTTTACAGTACTTACTTTTTTATCAAATAAATGTAGGATTGGTGAGCATAAGTGATCATTACCGAAATGTCGAAGGTCTCTTTATATCACTCAGAAGTGATACACACACATTTTATTTTTAAGAATAAAATGACAGGTGACATAAATCAGCCAAATTATATATTAACAACAACAACAACAAAACGTTTGGTGAGTGTTACTAAAATGGAGATTTCTGTCTCACTGCATGAGGGGAAAAATTAAAACAGGCTTTTAAAGATATGTACTGTAATTGAAATCCAAAAACACAAATAGCCAAAGTGTAATCAAATAAACACATAAATGTGTATTGTGGATGTATTCCTTCCACTAGTCTGAAAGAAGACAAGTTATGGAAGAAAACAGCAAAATAGCAAAAACCTCAAAATAATAATCATAATAATAATAAATGCAATAAAAACACAACATTTATGTTCATACATAATGTTCATTGCATTGAGCAGCACTTTGTACAGCCTACTCTATAATTTTGTTTCCCAACCCTGGTGCTGGAGCACCAGCAAAATTTCACATTTCGAATGTCTCTCTTTTTTAAGACACACATTTCAGGTCTTGGAGTCACTAGCAATCAAGGCTGGGAAACACTGCTACGGTATATATTATGGACAGTATGCTAAATGGAATATATCTTTGGGGAATCATTTCAGCTGTGGCTCTGAACATCTGCTTGATTTTTATCCCAAGACTGCACTAAGAATATGAAGAAAACAGAACAATAAATATAACTTTGAGTAGCCAAACAGCAGGAAGCGTTTTTCATTGATAAAGTTTGACTTTTGGCCCTGAGATGGATAAGCAGATGCTGGAGAACGTGTATAGTGAGCTGCTATTGAAGTTACTGGCTGCGTATGACTTCTGTCTCATTTCTAAAGTTTATGAGCGTCAATCTGGATGTTGATTATTCTGTGTGTGTTACCTGTTTAACCTCAGCCTGTAGGTGGCGCAGCTGCACACACTGCTCCAGGTGTTTCTGTGTGTGTTCAGCGCTCACGTCCAGCTCATGCTGTTTCTCATTAAGAAACTCCAACAGTTCCTGAACTTGAGTGGCCAGATCCACCTCCTTCTCACCGGTCAACTCAATACCTGCATATCACACACAAATACACACTTCTGTTCATATTTCTGCAGAATCATTATTGTCTGAAAGAACACGTTTACAGCTCATCACCACTGGGTGGCAGTATGGAAGCTAGTTCAAATCCACTACAAAACCGCTCTCCTCATTCAGAACTACTGTACTATATCATAGATTCACATTCAAGGCAAATTTAATTTAGGGATAATGTACAGTCAGCAAAATAAAACTCAACATGCATGAAGTGATCTATCTATCTATCTAAATCTATCTATCTATCTATCTATCTATCTATCTATCTATCTGTCTGTCTGTCTGTCTGTCTGTCTGTCTATCTATCTATCTATCTATCTATCTGACAGAATAGGTTAATTAGTTGTTATTTTCCCGTATATTTCACTGAAAGAATAATCAAACAAATTAATTGACTGAATTTGATTTCTAATTATATTTTTAATTTCTAATATTACTTCTTACTAGAACTACAGTTGCGAAGTTAGTTAGTAATTACGAATGAATGAATGAATGACTGAATGAATGAATCACAGTTGATGCATATAGAGCATCCAGTAAAGCTTAATTCGGTGATTGTATCTGTTGTCCCAGCAGCAGAATCAGACACACCCATCGGACACACAGGCATGTGTGAGAGATTGTCACAGTAATGTCTGGAACAGACGGCGTCCAAAGCCTGGACAGAAGAGCGTGTCCTCAGCCAAGACCCATGTGTGAGAGAGTTAGTTAGTAATTACGAATGAATGAATGAATGACTGAATGAATGAATCACAGTTGATGCATATAGAGCATCCAGTAAAGCTTAATTCGGTGATTGTATCTGTTGTCCCAGCAGCAGAATCAGACACACCCATCGGACACACAGGCATGTGTGAGAGATTGTCACAGTAATGTCTGGAACAGACGGCGTCCAAAGCCTGGACAGAAGAGCATGTCCTCAGCCAAGACCCATATGTGAGAGAGAGGGGGGTGAGAGTTGGGTCAGCAGTTTGAGGAGAGGAAGTCTGTTTCCAGTGTTAAAAATATCTGAGAGACACAGCGCTGAACGTTGGGACGGTATGAAGATAAGAGTGGAGACGAAGAGAAATGTGGGTTAGAGATAGACAGCTGAAGAAAGGAGTGACATTTGGTCTAATTTCATTTTAACTCACTTCTTTAAATTGAAATGAAAGCTGTACTGAGCATCATTAGTGCCGGCTCTCCTTCTCTCTCCTCTGCATCTATATCTCTATCAGATCAAACCCCATCTCATCAGAGTTCATGAGTACTGTACGAGTGAGTGATTTCATATACATTTGGATGATCTGACTTGTGTGAAAGCATATGATTTGTAGGTAAAACCTCACCATGAAGGTGCACCCCTAAACCTAACCCTCAGGAGGTGTGAGCAGATTTGCACAAAAACTTGCAAATGAACATGCACAATTTTGCAACCAGTTCACGAAAATTTAAACATTTACAAACTGCCATGCGACTGTGTTGATCAACTCACTTTAGGATGATTTGAAGCCACTAATATAATACAATTCCAAATTATATATATAATGATACGTTTTTCCTCAAATCGTTTTAATCTTTGAACAATCTTAAGGGCAACACTTTATTTTAAGGACCATTAAAATAAATTTTATAAAGCACATATGAATGCCATATTCTGCAGAACCATATTTTAGATCCCTTAACTTTACCCCATACCTAAACTTAACAACTACCTTAGTAACTATTATTAAGCAGCAAATTAGGGAGTTTATTGAGGGAAAAGTCACAGTTAGTAGTTAGTTAACAGTGAGAATTGGACCTTAAAATAAGGTTGTTCTTTAGACAAAACTTAAGAAGAATCGCTGTAAATAACTTCTTAAAGTCAGGATAAACTCCAGTTTGTCTCCAATGATATGATGTTTAATGAATTTATTGGTTTGTTTCAAATTAATTGTTATAATTAGGCATTACAGCATAGCACTAGCTATATATAATACATATTACTCTGACTAGGGATGTGCGCGAGTGCTCTGAAATCATACCAATTATCGATAATAGAAACAATAAACAGTCATGATTAAGTGTGGAGTGACTATATATATATATATATATATACACATATTGTTGTTGTTTTTTTATATTTGAGAACGTTCTAGGAATTTTTAAGAATTACGCTTAGGAAGATTAGTACAAACTTCTTGGAATTTATCTTAAGAAATCCCTTAACTTCTTTTTTTAAGAAGATGTTTGTGAATCCAGCCCTTGGGCATTTTTGTGTGCAAAATACATCGGGTGGTCAGTGAACACACTGTGGTTGGTCTGTGGGTGAGAACCTGAGAGTACCAACAAAACAGTACAACAACTTGTACTATTGCGTTACTGGCTGTCAGTGTCAGTGGCACCTATACTCTTTTTCATCTTCCCCTCTCTCTCTCTCTCTCTCTCTCTCTCACCTGAAGCTTGGACCTCCATGATGTACTGATGCAGGTCTTGACCCTGCTGCATGACCTCGTAGGTCATGTTGTTCATGGCCAGTTTTCTCTCCGCGTGCCGCTGGAGTCTCTGTTCAGCCAGACTGGGTTCTTCTGCGGTGAACTCGTTTACCTGACGAACCAGGTCCTCATTCCACGCGTCTAACTCCGCCGTTACCTGCAGGACAGGAGAGACAATTAAACACTTTGACATTATTACATTATAGTGTACTTTTTACAAGTATACGTAAGTGTGAAAAAACAGTTAAGTGGCCCTTTGTTTAATTAATATATGTGACCCTGGAGCACAAAACCAGTCTTAAGTCGCTGGGGTATATTTGTAGCAATAGCCCAAAATACATTGTATGG